TTTACAACATCACGGCGTTTTTACAAGCGCCCAGTGTGGTTTTAGAAAGAATCGCAGCGCAGTGGACAATCTTTTTGTTCTTGACACTGCGATTCATATGGGATTTAAAGCAAACCGACACATAGGCGCGGTGTTCTTTGACATAGAGGGCGCCCACGACACCACAGGGCGTCAGGGCATTCTTCTCAAGCTATTTAGGTACGGTATGCGCGGCAATACGGGTACCTTTTTTCCAAACTTTCTAGTTGATCGTTCTTTCCGTGTCCGTGTTGAAAACGCACTCTCTTAGATGCATCTTTAAGTTAACGGTGTGCCCCAAAGCGGCATTCTTAGCGTAGCTTTGTTCGCCGTTATGATGAACGACATCGGGATTGGGCTGCCACATTCTGTAGGTCGTGCACTCTTTGTTGATGATTTTACCATTTGGACTAGCGCAGCAAGAGCACCATCGATACCATAGGGCGCCAACTCCAGTTGGCTTTGGACCGTATTGAGAAGAAGGGTACCATGAACGGGTTCAGGTTTTCAAGTAGCAAGGCTGTAGCCATGTATTTTTTTTTGTCGTAGCCGGCAATACGGTGACCTATCTATCCGTCTGTATGGGCAATGCATTCCAATTGAGCCTGTGGCTAGATACCTGGGGTATGCTTTGACCGCCGACTTACATATAATGCGCATCTTGAGACGCTACGGGAACGCTGTTTTAAATCTTTGAACGTATTAAAATGTGTTTGGCGCACATCGTATGGCGGAGATCGGTGCACGCTTTTGCTGCTGTATTGGGCAATCATACGCTCTAAGCTGGACTATGCATGTTTTATTTATGACAGCGCGTGTGAATCCACCAAACGCGCCATTGACACCATCCATCACACTGCTTTACGTGCCACCACAGGGGCGTTCCGTACATCTCCTACCCAAAGCCTCTTGGTAGAATCGCACGACCCGCCGTTGTCAGCGAGGAGGAAAATGCTCGGCATGCGTTATGCACTCAAGCTGCGACAGTTCCCGTGGCATCCCGCATATCACGCAGTTTTTCCCCGGCCTGCTGTGCCGTTTGTTCGCCATGCACATCGGGCGCATGCTGTGACCGCTGGCTCGCGGAAACAAGCCTTACTGCGGGAAAACGAAATTGCCATTCGAAAGGTGAAGCGATCTGGTCATCTGTGTACTCCTCCCTGGCATTTGATATCACCCTTCACAGACACATCTCTGACTAAAATGCAAAAGAATGTCTCGCTGCCAGATATAATGAGATCCAGAGCGCTTGAGCGTGTAGCGTTATATGAGGGTTGCACACATACACGGAGGCTTTAAAACCTCTGATGGTGTAGGCTGTGCGTTTGTGAGCGGTAGCATCATCCGGTCGTTTTCATTGCCCCCAAACTCTTCGGTGTTCACATCGGAGCTAATAGCAATCACCAAGGCACTATGTTTCACTGAAGTTGGTGACGAACCCTTACATCTCATGTTGACGGACTCTTTGAGCAGCGTTCTGAGTGTGAAGTCTTTTTATCCATCATGTCCCTTTACACAGGACATTTTAATACATTTGACTCGACTGGATCAGGCCGGAAAGAAAGTCATGCTATGTTGGGTTCCTAGTCACGTCGGAATCGCGGGCAACGAGTTGGCTGACGCGGCTGCCAGGCGAGCAGCGCATGGCTCCATGTGTTTGCTCTCTTTCTTTCCCCGCCAGAGACCTTTACCCTGCAATAAAAACCTTCCCTGCACAACACGTGGCAGCGTTGTTGGGATCGGATTGATGGTCATAAGCTTAGAGAGATAAAACCTAAGCTGGGCCAGTGGTTCTCTTGTGTCCACAAAATGAGGCGAAGAAGAGGTGATCCTCTGCAGATTACGTATCGGGCACACGTACGCAACCCACGGCTATATGTTGGAGGGAAGTCCGATAAAGCCTGTCTGTCATCGATGTGGTGCTGTCCTTACCGTTCGCAATATATCTTGTATGCACCTCCTTATATCCTTATATCTTGTCTGCACCTCCTTATATCTTGTCTGCACTATCCTCATATCACCTACCATATCCTTATATCTTGTCTGCACCTCGTGGAAGAACGCCAACGTTACTTTGGACAGCATGACTTGCCCCTGACCCCCGTGATATGCTAGGAGACAACTCACAATGTCTGGAACCTCAACAGATCTTTTTGCTTCTCAAACACATCAACTTTGGGACCATTTATGCGGCTCATTAGAAAGGTAAAACACAACTCGTTATGGGCGCCAAATGACCAACGCGGTCGGCGCGCCCGTAAACTCCAATAAACAACAACAAAAAGGTCTCTCCCTGTTGATACCAAAACCGATGGCGAGAGACCCAGGAGCATAAGTCTTGGAGGGCCTGAGCAAGAGCGCCACCGTCTAGAAATATAGCAAGTCCGGCAATGCCGACCAGCCCAGGGCATCCGGAGCTCCCAACAGCAGCGACGATTGCTGTTCTGTCCACACCGCCAGCGATTTTAAACAGCGCTTGCGGGGTCGTGCTATTTAGGCATTCATGTCATTCATGCCTTGCCAGCCATTTGTCTTGCCTTTTAACTGTCCAATACGGTCAAAGGACATGCCAAATGAATGGCGATGCATACGCCTGTGAAAGGATTTCAGCAAAGAGGGACACTGCAATAGTAAAAAAAATTTTGCTCAGATCTGTTTTTGCCAAGTTGTTTTTCATCAGATCATCGATCAATCAGATTAGATCCTTTTTTATCTGCTGTTGCATTCCAGTCGTGGTCCGAAAGGCAATAAGTAATTCTGCTTTGTTGCGTGAAGTGAAATGGTAACATTACAACCAGCTTCTATCCCGTGCATGTGGCTAGTTCGTCGGCGCAGAAACAGAGAGGGCGGCTGGGTGAAACCCAGAAAGGTCCATGCCCTCCCCTCCCCTTTGTAATCTCTCCTGGACTGCATTTCATCCATTCTCGCCAAGTTCAATATGAACCAAAAAGTAACGCATCGAAGAGCTGACTTTGAAAAAAGGTTTGGCTCAGCCGCTTTGTGCTATGCCCCGATGCTGGCGCCGGTCAGTCACGACCCCGCCGCGGTTATATGGATGCCACGCACTTCAGTGCGCTTCGTAAGGAAGAAGATATTACGCACTTCAGTGCACTTCGTAAGGAAGAAGATACTACGCACTTTTTAAGGAAGAAGATACTACGCACTTCAGTGCGATTCGTAAGGAAGAAGATACTACGCACTTCAGTGAGCTTCGTAAGGAAGAAGATACTACGCGTTTCAGTGCGCTTCGTAAGGAAGAAGTGGCACACATCATACATGTCTTGACTGATGCGCACAAATCGATAAAATTGTTCGTAAAATGGAGTGGCACGTTGTGCCAAAATTGCGCCTTTTGTTAAACGAACACCTCATGGTAAAATAAACACACCAAAAAGGCGCGAAGAAACCACTTTTAAATGGTTGCTTGTCTCTCTGGCAATTTGTTTTTAAAACTGAGTCTGAATCTTTGATTGTATGGGTTTCTGGAATCGGCGCCCACGAGCATTCCTTGTCGTGTGAGCCCTAATGTCATCACCCGACGGCGCAATGCCGGGCCAAGGACAGGACTCCGTGGCGAAAGCTCAGCGCGCCGTTATGTGCGGTACGATCCGTCCTGCCCTCTGACGCCGCCTGACCTTGAGAGCGACCGCTGCCACCAGCCGCAGCCTATTACAGTGAGTCATTCCAGCGCCTAAAGCTACTAGAGCCAGCCCGGCCACGGCGGGTGAATCGGAGAGCAGGCGCTCCAATCCAATGAGCTACCTAGACGGACAAATGGGCTGAACAAATGGCAATCGCCAAAAACGGCTTTGTCAAGTGGCGCCTCCCTGCCCCTCCCCAACCCCCATCCGTGCCACGAAGCAGTGGCTGCAGATCGGGCGTCCATCTCCATGCGGCAACCATTGGCTCCCCGGGTCGCCCCCGCACGTTTGTACCATTGGCTCCTCGGGTCGGCCCCGCACGTTTGTACCATTGGCTCCCCGGGTTGGTCCTGCACGTTTGTACCAGTCGGCCCCGCACGTTTGTACCATTGGCTCCTCGGGTCGGTCCCGCACGTTTGTACCATTGGCCCCTCGGGTCGGTCTCGTACGTTTGTACCATTGACTCCTCGGGTCGGTCCCGCACGTTTGTACCATTGGCTCCTCGGGTCGGTCCCGTACGTTTGTACCATTGGCTCCTCGGGTCGGTCCCGCACGTTTGTGCCATTGGTTCCTCGGATCGGTCCCGCACGTTTGTGCCATTGGTTCCTCGGATCGGTCCCGCACGTTTGTATGTCTTCAACGACAAGAGTGTCACGCTGAGCTGCGCTCAATGGAGCTGACAACAGCAGAACCAATGCCGAGCGCGTACATCCGGGGACCTCAGACAATGCCGAGCGCGTACATCCGGGGACCTCAGACAATGCCGAGCGCGTACATCCGGGGACCTCAGACAATGCCGAGCGCGTACATCCGGGGACCTCAGACAGTGCCGAGCGCGTACATCCGGGGACCTCAGACAATGCCGAGCGTGTACATCCGGGGACCTCAGACAACGCCGAGTGCGGGGACCTCAGACAGTGCCGAGCGTGTACATCCGGGGACCTCAGACAACGCCGAGTGCGGGGACCTCAGACAGTGCCGAGCGCGTACATCCGGGGACCTCAGGCAACGCCGAGCGCGTACGTCCGGGGCCTCAGACAATGCCGAGCGCGTACATCCGGGGGCCTCAGACACCGCCACAAGCCGGACCGCTGTACAGAAGAGCCGCTTACGATGCCTCGCCGGGTATGCCGCCGTCGCCGCCCATCTGGCCAGCCAGCCCATGGCGTTCAGCAGTGGCGCGGCGGCCACACCGGGGGCATCACGAGGCGGCGTCACGCTTGGACCGCCGGCGTGACGTCAGTCCGCGTGACGTCACTCGCGCCCGGCCGCCGGTCGGCGCGTCCGGCGACCGCTGGCCCTGTGGCGCCGCGCCTCCGTCGCCGACGACGCTCTGTTTACCGGTCGTCGGGGAGACGGCCGGTGACGCGCGGCGGCGCTGGCCGCGGTGGAAGCGACGCCGCCGGACGGTTCGGGCTCGCGCTGCAGCCGCCGGCGACCGCGGAGGACGCCGACCTGAGGGAGCACACCTGCAGAAAGCCCCCGGCAAGCCGCGGGTATCGGCCACAGCGTCGGGCGGCAACCTGAGGAAGCACGCCAACGCCTGCAGGAAGCCCTCAGCAAGCCGCCGGTATCGGCCACAACGTCGGGGGGCGACTAGGTGAGTCAGACCCGCTCGGCACGGGCGCGGACGACACACACGTGATGCACACGTAACCCCTGTCGGCCAGCGCAGCGTGGAGACAGAGGTGTCGGACGATAAGTAGCTGCGGATATGGTGTGCCGTTTTACATTAGGTATCTAAGTAAGCATACACATCGTCTTACGAATGCAGTCCATGTACTGTAGGCACTGTTGTAGGCATATTGGTGGAGCACCTAAAATAAGCAGGTTGAATCCAGTCATACTGAGCCCTGATTCTTCACGTCGGCAGATGAAAGCGTATCGACAGTTCATTCAAACGGGGCCGTGCGCCAAGTATGTCTCATCTGAATGATCAGTAAATATCAGCCTGAGCAGCCTGTTGTGACCGGAACCGCCATGACCCAGCCTGACCAGACCTGACCGTCACCCTTTCTATGGTGGTGACGTCCCTCTATCTTTGCAACACTGCTCCTTTGCAGTCACCCACCGTGCTTTCTTGGATTATTGTAGTTTTGTAGTTTGGTAGTCTTTGTGTGCTGTCAAATGTTTCAGTTTCTGTGTGGGAAGACTATTATTTGATAAAGCTAGTTTTCCATTCTACATTATAGCATTACCACCATCTCACCTCCCCTTCGATGGGAAAGGTACACTATTCAAGCTGTGAAAAGCTGATGGACACAGGTCGGAAACTGGCTTTGGTCGTCGACTTGGCTTTGGGGTGACATGAGGCTAATCAAAACCAACGGAACGGAACGCCGACGACAGCCCTGAGTGACGGTAGAGATGCTCAAACCAGCACGTCCCATCGCATCCAAGCCCTGGATCCGCCCTTTTGAGGATTTGGGGCTTTTTGAGGATTAATGTCAGATTTCATCGAACAGAGCAGGAAAGATGTTAACAAATGCACGGCGTATGCAAGTGTAGCATTAACAACCATTCAACAGACCTCAAAATTGCCCGACCCATAGGCATGCATCCCCTCAGCAGACCCCAAGACTTTCCGACCCATAGGCATATAACCCTTTAACAGACCTCAAGATTGTCCGACCAATAGGCAAAGGTGAAATTTCTAACAACAAGGAAATGGTCAGCAGCCAAATGTTAATTTTGGGTCAACCATATCTGTGCAATGCCGTAAATCTGATGTTCAATTTATGAGACGTTGGTATACGGCTGCATCCTCATTTAGCAGTCAAAAGACTCTCATACCCTCAATGTATTCGTCACCGACACGTGAAGGACACTAGCGGTGTTGGAATCTATCCCCCATCAATATGAGGCGCGCGGCCCAAACCGCGCAAGATTGTGGAAAATTAGACCACTGTCAGTGTGATCAACATTCCCGCTGTCACGCTCAGCAAATTTTCGAGCAATGTTGAGCGTAAATTAGCGCACAAATACTACGCCAGTGGACCTCCATTTGTTAAGCTTTCATGAAAGGTCCTTTCCAGAGCGTTGGTAAAATCCACTGGTATTGGTTACCAAACGTGTGTGGCCCACCGTTACGAGTGGGGCCTCGGACCGGTTTAGTTTAAACGTCGACCAGCCGAAATTGCTGCAGTTTTAGCGACGGGGCCTGACAGGAACGCTTTGACAGGGTTATCTTTGTAACCGACTGCAACGAATTATCTTTGCGTGCGGTCGCACCGATGCGACAGTCCCAACAACACATAGCGCAGTGCCGAGCTGTGACGTAATCATTTCAAAGGGCTAAAATGCAGCTGTTTGATCAGGCGATGTGTGTTTGCAATGCTGCAATATCATAGCTATTCCATCATTCATTTGATTAATATGGGAAACATACAAATTTCAACAGTTCGCGAACAACCTGAAGCCTACGGTTGGGCGACAGGTGCCGATCGCGACGACCAGGCGCCGCAGTGAGATAAGACTGGGCCATGCTGACGTCAGAGAAAGCGAACAAACGTTCGTGCGAGTGTTGGTCAATGTGTGCAGACCCTCATGCGCAACTGTGCGCAAAGCATGGATCCTCTCGTTTTCGAGCGTGTTCAAGCAAATCATTAAGCGATCTCAGGACTGTGCGAGCCGCTGGTCAGGCGTGCTGGTGCACCAATGCGACCTTCTCCTGAATGCAATACGATTTAGTCTGAAGTCAGACAGATTGACCTATTTAAACTACATAAAATTGTTACCTGGCTTATTTTGTCAAATATTCTCTCCATTTTTTAACGCCTTCTTCCAGCACATTGGCAGTAGTCGCGAAAATGCAAACCATTCCAAATTACTTTACCATGCAGATTAGAATTACCAGCCCTTGACAGGGCCACAGTCAGTCATGATTGCAGCTATAGATATCTAGTGTGCGAACGCCTAACATCAGCGCACCTCCGTGCCCAACGCACGAAAATGGAGTGCGCCAATGCATAGTCAACATGCTCCCTTTGCTCGTGTTTAGTGATCTGCATGGCGATGGTTACGATGGTTACGATGGTAACCATGGCGATGGCGATGGTTATGCTGTCACCTCGCCGGTTCGGCACCGCGAGACGCCATGCCGACGTCACTTTTTGGCGCCATCTGAATTACAACAACTGACAAGTCTGGCATGTGTTATTGCCTCGCTCTCCTCACACCGCGCGAAAGGCATCTTACTAGGCCATAGAAACATAGACTGGAGAGATGCAACTGCGCATGAGGGAGGCAGCGCATCCGTTCGGGGGCAAGCCGCGCAGGCCTGCCAGGAAGCCACGGCGCTTGTTGCCTATCGTACTACACACGTGCGCGTGACTCCCGACTCGAGAGAGGCGCGCGACTTGTGCGTAGTCGTACGCCCAACCTGGCATGCGCGCACTCGGATCCTTCGGCGGTAGTGCTGAGCGGAGCATACGCACGTGCGTACGTCCGTGCGCCGGGCCTCGCCCAGGGGTGTGGTCGTGACTGCGGAGGTCGGTGCATGACCGCTTCTACTGCTGATGCCTGCCGGGCACGCACGCCGACGTCACACGCCTCCGCCTTCGACGAACCGCTTCTCGGAAACGCCCGCGGTTGCGGGTATAGCATACAAACGCAAGAGCTGCGTCAATACGCTGAGCTTTGTGCTTGACCTCAGGGCGCGCTGCACGCGACCCTGGTGCTGATGCTTTTTACTTCCAAGCATGCTAGGTCGTAGATATGCGGCATGTCTCTTTGTGACCTGGTTTTTTGTCGCCGGCCTCGCCACGTGGCCCAGCCCGGTGTATTCTGAATTATACAGCGCAGCTGGTGAGGCGCTTAGCGTCATTTGCTTGTATGCAGGACGGCGACCCAATTCCGTAAAAGCGAACAGTGTACCAATACCAATTATCTACTTTCCATCGGGATTACTAGTCAGTTTGTTTGGGTCGTGGCATGTCGTGGCATGCATCCCAGTGAAGCACAGATTAATGCGCGCATCAGCGCGCGCTACCAAACCTAACTCGTATTATCGTCTCCTGCGGCCTTTCCGTTGCGCGAAAGCTCAGCAGCAGCTGTATCGTGCTGCGCTATGTTCGGTAGGCACGTCTCTGCTAAACTGCCGACGGCGGCGTATGGCTGCCTGCCTGACATCAGCTGAGCTGTTCCGGTGTGGGCAGGAGCGCCTACGGCGGCAGCCGGGCCTCAGAGCGTTCCGTCCGCACACTCATGTCCAGCTCTGGGCCCCGTCCGGTGGCGGCCGGCCAGTCTCGTGTCGCAGGGCAGTCGGCACCTTTCAGTTGCGTGGAAGTTGGGACGCTGAAGTGACTAGTTTGATCATCAAGGATCGATGCGTCGTTGTGGCGGTGAGCGCCAGTAGCCTGTGTCTGGCCAGAGAGAAGCCGCGGTTGGGGGATTGTGTCTGGATCTCTGGAGTTTGTGACCGGGGTCGGCGACTTGTTTTGGAACGAGGAGATTTCGCTCCGCGTATTGGAGCGAGAGGCTTTTGCTCTGTGTGTTGGAGCGAGGGGATTTCGCTCTGTGTGTTGGGGTGTTCGGATTTCGCTCTGTGTGTTGGAGCGAGGGAATTTCGCTCTGTGTGTTGGAGCGAGGGGATTTCGCTCTGTGTGTTGGAGCGGGGGGATTTCGCTCTGTGTGTTGGGGTGTGGGGGTTTCGCTTTGTGAGTTGGAGCGAAGGGATTATGCTCTGTGTGTTGGAGCGAGGGGATTTCGCCCTGTGTGTTGGAGCGAGGGGATTTCGCTCTGCGTGTTGGGGCGTGGGAAATTCATGCCTGCCTGTCCGGCGTTTGTTTTTGGTTGGCTCAGTTTCATGTCGATGTTGCGTGCCGGAGTCGGAGTCGCTCATGTCGATGTTGCGTGCCGGAGTCGGAGTCGCCCATGTCGATGTTGCGTCGTTTCTGTCCGGCGATGCGTCAGGTTCGCGCCAAAATTTGGCGTCTGGGTCTGAACGTTTGGAGTTGTTCTCGGATGTGTTAGGTCTGGGGTTTGGGGTTTGTATTGTAATGCCCCAGGTTTGTGCCGGGATGGCTGCGGATTTTCATATCCGGTGTTTAATTCGAGTATCGCGGATTTCCATGGATATTCAGTGTTTGCGTCGTGTGTATTGGGTTTGCTTGGAAGTCTGGATGTGGCGGGCTTGTGTCGAATAGGTGGATACCGTGGCGACAAGTTTGACTCGTTCACGTGCGTCAGGCCCCGCGTCGGATGTCTGCGGCTTGCGTGGGTGGGGAGGACCCTATGTCCGCAGTGTCGGAACCAGCCAAGCCCATGCAGTTGTCGTCGCCCGATGCCCCACCTCCCGCTGACCTCGGTCGGGGCTGCTCGCTCGGGGCCAGGCCAGACAGTCGCAGTAGCGGCAGGACGCCGCCGGTCGAATGCGGCCATCGCGTGACGCCCCAGCCGTCTGAAGTGGTGCGTGCTCGGCGGCCGATCCCCGCTCGTCCTCAGCCATGCTGACTGATGTCTGCCTGGGGCTGCGCACACATGCTGATGTTTCCGTCTAAGATGTGGCTGTGTTTCTGTCTGTTCTGCGTGCTAGCTTTTGCGTGTTCGTGTGTGTCCTGCCTGTGCCTGTCTGCGGCCGTGTGTCTTCTGCCTGCATGT